CAATTTTACAGCCACATCATAATCAGCCTCTCATTTTATAGAATGTTCACTTTGTCTGGTTTTGTTGCAGTCTGCCCCATATTACGAAATAACCTGTATTATGTATATTTTTATGACAATTCTAACGTCACAATCTAAAAAGGAAACCATATTTGCTGATCCTAAAGACTTTGGTAAAGATATGTGACAATCGACGCTTGTTGCTACAAATGAATATCTAGTTTTTTGCCGACAAACCGCACACTCTTTTTCTATATTCTCTTCCAATCAACGATGGATCCAACTCAACAACAAGTCGCGCCTACATTGAAACGTATGAATTCCTCCTCTTCCACGACTTCCAACTCTTCTCGCTCAGCCAAACGTCCGAAGCTTGCCAAATCAAACACAATTCCAGTTCCTGCCCGAAACACGAAACGAGTAACCACACCTTCCTCTACTTCCAGCAATGTTCCAAGTCTTCCTTCAAACCCACGCCCAGTTCGTGGAGGTGCGCCCAGTTCTGTGACTGCTTCCAACTCAAATCGTCGAGGAAGCGGTCGTAGATCGCGGCAACAGTCGATAAGTATGCCCGATTCTACTTCAACTGGTTCGGCTATTTTCACGACACCCCCACCATTAACGCCAGTGTCACCGACAACACCCAGAGAATACTATACTTCTGTTCCGCCCACACCCCGTGAGGGTGAGATGTCTGAGCAGCAATCAATTGGAGACGAGGATGGAAAAGAGAGGAAAGAAGAGGGTGAGGAGGATGAAGAGGAGGGTGATGAGTTAGTAGAGTATGATTGGCACGTGCAGGCTCAAATGCAAGGGCGGAGTAAAGAAGAATTGAAGTAAGTGAAGAGTTTGTTAAGATAACTTTGAGATCGCAAGGCAAAGGTGAATTCATGCTGCTTTTCTTCTCTCCATTCAAAGGGCGTTATTAGATAATTTTTCTGAGGAACAATTACAACGATACGAAGTTTTCCGAAGATCTGCTCTAAATAGAGCGAATGTCAAGAGGGTCATTATTAGTGCTTGTTAATCATGCTTTTCCCTCTTCTCTTTTCTCTCAATTTATAATGCTGTCTATTTACTATCACCAACGTGATCGTTTGTTTTCAGCTTGTATCCCAAGTACTTAATCAACCTTGCTCTCAAACGCTGGGATTCGTTGTTGCCGGGTTTACTAAAGTGTTCGTAGGCGAGATTATTGAATTAGGTACGTTGAGATTTTAGTTTGATATTATATATACATCGTACCTATGATCGATTGTTGTTTCGTTTCATTTATATAGCGCGTCGAGTGCAAAGTGAACTGGGCGAGAGTGGACCTCTTACACCAGAGCATTTGCGTGAAGCCCACAGAAGATATAAGAAGGAAGCTGGTCATACGAATGCTCTGTATAAAAAGCGGTTGTTCTATCGTTGACATTCGGTAGAGGATTATTAAAAGCTATGAGTAGTGTAAAGATAAATAGACTAAATAAATAAACTCAAAATGGGCTACAAGTCGGTAATTCTTCCTACTTTTCCAGTGGATTGGAGCAAACATTCTCGATTTCTTATTTGCTTCATAGTAACATGAAGAAAGAGCTGCTACCAGTTATGAACATAAAATAAATTCCCTAGCAGATTATGAAAAAAAAATTACTGAACTAAGAAACTAAAAAAAGACATCTCATTTCTCACAATTCCCTCATCACAACTCAACCAACAGCAGCAGCAACAATATTACTACTAGGCAACAACGTCGACGACAAACAAAAAAAATAAACAATACATCCGCGACGTCATTAACGTCTACGAACGAAATCGCCGCCGAAGCAAGTAACGGAAAATGTCAAACAAAATACAAAAAAAATTAACATCATAGCAACAAACTTGCTGGAAGTTCCTGATCTTTGAATTATAAAAAAAGTCTTTATTTATTAGCCCGATAATCGTATTTGAATCGATTTGTAGTTCGAAGAGTTTTTCGATTAATTTTATTATTGGTCTGATATGTTGACACGTTACCAAGATTGAATTAAATTGAATCACTATTATTCAAACTTATATGTCAATTAAACAAACTAAGAAAAAGTGGGGGCAAGGTCGAGATCATACACAGTATTCCGAACATTTTTCATATGAAACGATCTGCGTGCAACGCTCAATTTCTTTTCTAGTACTAGAACTGCTCGACTTTTTTTGGACGATTTTGACCTCTATTTGGATGCCTATATTACTGTTTATAATTAAAGATTGTTCACTATAAAGAATTAAAGATCATCCGAACAGTGGGAGTCGTTCCGATATTATTATTACTATTACAGTAATTGATAAGAGACAATCGGTAAAAATACAAACAGAGATGAGTCCAGAACAAAGGGATGAAACGCCAAGATCTGCTGAGAACTGAATAGATGGAATTGCGGAAGAATCTGATGGAGCGATCTGCCTCAGATGTTGATGAAGAACCAACGACGATTTGAGCGCTGTGCGTGCTAATAGTCAAGGGGCTCTTTAATGGATTCGCCAGACACCTTAAATGGGAGATAAGCTAAAGAAGTAACCCAGCGCAACTGTAATACAATCGTTCGGTATAAACAGTTGCTGCCTCACCTTCATCAACCCATCTCCAATTCGAGATACACTTGATAGTGAACAACTGTTTCGATAGCAAACCATCTACACAAAACAATTCAACCAATATCAACAAACGGAAATGAATTCAAACAATGGATCGGTCGTCAGCAATACCAGCAGCAACAGCAGCGCATCATACTTCGGATCTCCGTTCCCTTCCAACGACACTGCATCGGCATCACTAATACACGAATCCGATGCAGCGATGATGTCACCGAAACCATCCCTAGAGACTATCCACCCAAACTCTATCAATACATCGATGGAATTAAACATTTCATCATTAGACGGCGCGACAATGGATACCCTGTGACGGTAGTCGACGGCAAACGGGTTAGAGATGAGCTATGCAGAGATCCAGTCGGATGGGAAAACGAATGTACCGATGCCAACCTGGCCATCGACCGATGGATGACAAACGAACGAGGAGAGAATGGGAACTTTTGGTTGTTCTACCTACCCTTACTCAGTCGATGGGAATATGGGCATGAACGAGTGGATTACGGAGACCACGCCATATACGAACTATGTGATAGAGAAGGAAGACTTTGGTTCGAATGCGACATGCAAGAGTGCATTGATCACTGGAGTAATGTACGCATCGATCAATGGTCTACCGATGCGCAACGACACGTGGCTGAATTCCTATACCATGCTCAACAACCAAAAGGATGGGAGCCGATTACTGGACTAATTGGCGAAGAGGAACGGTCTCCAACTAACCCCCATGGACAGTTCAACCAGGGTATGAAACTCAAGTATGCGTCGAGGATGTCAACGAATCATATATGCAAAAAAAATTCACGTAAAATAAAATGCTTGTATCTCGTATCAAATCTAAAAAGTGTAAATTAGGAAATGATTGCGATTATCAAGAGTAGATTTGGGCAGCGTTCACGCGTTGTTTTCATTGTACACTCTTTGAGTTAGCCCAATTCGTGATGTTTGTTTCGAAGCAAGAACAACAGCGGCAAGTGATATTACATTTATGGGACGAGGGTGTATGCCATCCAACAGTCCGGATTTGAATCCAATTGAGAACCTCTGGCACATTGTAAAAACCAGAGTGGAAAAGCGCATGCCAAAAAACATTAGTGAATTAGAGTCATTTATGGTGGAGTTGATTATTGCTAATAATGGAGAGCGTATACCATATTAAACATATATCAATAAAATCTGTTGCTTTCTAGCTTCCAAATAAGCCTTTATTCATGAATTTTGTTTATTCGTTAAGACATAACAGCGAAATTTTTCATTCTCATTTTTTTTTTGCAACACACTATATTTCTCTGTCCGAAAAGATTGCTGGGAAAATAACCACTGTTTTTGTGAAAGTTTTATCTGCTTAATTACCATCTTGGATGGGATGGAAAGTTCTTCATAATGGCATTAAAATTGTTGATTAGTCGGTCTTATGAATTACTATGTTTCAATGGTGCGAGTTCTACTTATGATGGATGTTTGGTTTGGCATAGGTTGTGCGATACAGTTACACGATTATAGCAAGATTGTTTCGCTATGGATTTTATATTCAATTTAATAAGATGGATAGAATATTTTAATTACAAAATCCTACGATAGAACATTTCTATGGTAAACATAATTTGGTGTCCCTGATAAGGACTAGATCTGAAGCGCAGAATTCAAGGAAAAACCCCGTCAGTTACAAAATATCGCCGTAAACTGACACTAATGGGATTTGGCAAAACGTACTTGAACTCAAAGGGCGTCAACTCAAAATGACCCTCAATAACGTTTTAAGATTTAGTGCTTAACTTGCAAAGTGATTTTATCTTTTTACTGCATTCTTGGCTTCACAGATGATAACATGATATTGCTTAAAATAGTACACTGTCAGCATTGATATGTATTAATCTCGTGATATAACATTCAGCGATGTTATTATGTGCTATAGGGAATCAAGCGTAAGAGGCGAGCAGACCATATGAATAGCGGTAATACAATGCAATGCATAGATGATTATTACACGAAGCGATAAGGCATGTTGAATTCTTTCCTAAAGAAATTATGTCCAAAGCACGCGAGTTTATTTGAACAATGTTGGCTCCACCACGGCAGAATAGGCAGACAATAGAGAATTTCCAGAGTAGTCTTAGGAACAGTTCTGTCTTTAGTTAGACCTTGAAATGTAATGAAAGACGTAATTTTAACGCGAATGACAGTAATACCTGTACTTTTTAGTCGAACTTACGCTGTACGTTCACGGAATAGGCACCGAACTATTTCCAACTAGTTATTTATACTGCCTTATATTTGTCAAAAAAGTGAAATGACGACGGTATGTGTATGCTATTTTGTTTCTTAATCAATAGATACGCGACAACAATTAACACGAGGAAACAGAAAATGACAATACGTAGAGCAAACATCTATTCCTTTCGCTGGTCCTTTTTTTGGAGGATGAGATTATGGACAATTGGTTTTTATACAAATCGTATAGAAACCGGTTTGCCAGGAGGCAACAATGTCTACAGACAAGACCTTAGACAGATGTCGATTGTATTGAACAATGTGCTTTATCACGAATTGAAACATTGAAGTCTACATTTGGAGAAAGCCACGTGAACTTCCGTTCGATGAAAATTTGAGGCAGCGCGCTGTTAATTGTTTCACTTCTCTCAAAAATATTTTATTGCCCATTTAATAATACCGTCGAATTTGCATAAAGAACCCTATATAACGGAACAACCTCTCATAAAAAACATTATCATGGGACGAATCTGACTTTTTGGTAAATGAATAAGCTCTAACCTCCGTGATAGAACATGATTTGACTGTTCTTATTCCTGGCTTATCTTTTCTCATCTTGGGAATGTTTTCATGATGACGAAAATTATTTCTATTTCTACATGGTACACGACCCAATTTGGGAGGACTTTTACTCTCCGAGTTTTGTAGAAATGGAACAAGATAATTCCCACTTTAGGATGCAAACGACGTCTTTAGAGGACTATCAGTTCCCAAAACATCGACTTAAGCAATGTCTTGACGGTAGTTCAATACTAAGTTTGTCTGGACAGGCTTATGATAGAATTTGACATCTAGAAGTATATGTACTTGTGGATGTTAATGTTGTAATGAAACCATAGAAAGCATAAATTTGTCTTTTATTCTTTTGATGCTAGTTATTTCATTTTGAGCATATCAAAAATGAGAAGATGATCTTAACGTTTTTATTTCATTAGACGATTCTAAAGAGCCACTCGTGTTAATTGAGTGTGGATCATTCTCGCCTGTAACTAATCAGCATCTGCGAATGTTTGGTTCGTTTAACGAAAAAAAGAGGGGGGGGGAGACTTGTGTGTTGTTTGTATTATTGCCAAAAATGCACTAGGTTGATTAAAGACTTAACTCTTTTATTTCTTAATTTCAGAAATGGCAAAAGACGACATTGGACATTATACAAACTATGAAGTAATTGGCGGTTATTTTTCTCCAGTATCCGACCATTACGATAAAAAGGGTCTTGCGCCAGCACACCATAGAGTACGTATGTGTGAATTGGCTGTTGAGACGACATCGACGTGGCTGATGGTTGATTCCTGGGAGAGTCTACAATCAAATTATTCCACGACAGTGCGAGTGTTGGATCATTTCGACAAAGAACTGAATGAGAAGAATAATGGTGTTGTTACAAAAGATGGTAAGCTTCATTGTGACGATAGGAATAAGTGTGCACGAGCGTATATCTGCTGATTTGAATTTTAGTAACATGATTTACTACAAGGCGTAAGGCGTCGCGTTAAGATCATGTTGCTGGCTGGTGCCGATTTAATTGAATCTTTCAGCGTGCCGGGTCTTTGGGCGGATGACGATGTAAGCGCAAGATGAATATCAATGATCTATCTGTTTTCGCATGATTTATCGTCTACTTTTATGTAGTTACGTCGCATACTCGGCGTCTATGGATGTGTGATCATTGAGAGGACAGGAACAGATATATGGAAAGCCGTCGTTGCGCATGACATTTTATATGAGCATCGGGTGAGTGAGATGAATATGTTATGCGATAATCGAATAGGTTTCTAATAACGGATCTCTGTCCATCAATATAGAAAAACATTTGTATTGTTAAAAGGTTAATACAAACCGATGAAAGCTCTACAAAATTGAGGTAAGATTATCAAATAATGAAATGATTGTGTGTTCATATATCATTGATGACGCTGTACTTTCAACTTTGTGTAGATTGCTAATTAAGAGGAAACTGTCCATAAAATATCTACTGCCATGCTCCGTAATCGAATATATCCAAGCACATGATCTCTACAAGTAAGACTAATAATGCATTGTAGCCAATTACAGAGGTCATTCTACTATACATGTATAATTATGTTAGTTATAAAGGCCGATCGTATTCAATATGACGATCTAACGAAGGAATAAACAAACTGTCTAACTATTGTATTATTTTCAAATATACATCCCTTTGTCTATCAGTACAGGATAATCTCTGAGTATGCCATTATAGTTGCACCATCCTCTGCTGTTCGTTTCTTGCAGTCCGTTCCTTTTCAGCAAGCACCCTTGCATACGCGGCAATAATAAATGAACAATATGCCTATCAGATTAATAATTATTAGTTGGATGGCTTTTGATCATACCAAGTTATCAAGTAACAACGCTTCCTCAATAAATTCACTCCCTCAAACACTTACTGATAACATAATAACAAGCAACATCCAGATAATCGAGAGCGGTAATAATACATTGTATGCTTGCTTACACATATCGTCAGCAACAGCATGATCCGCCTCGGAGTTATTTGGAAAGGTTTCTACGCATTCAGTTAAAAACTCGTATTTACGTGAGAGAAGAACGGCGACATTAACCAGGTTTACTATCGAAAATGTAAAGGCTATGACGTAACCGAGATACGCGTACTGTTGCATGTTTGCGGGAGTGGGCTTCACGAGAAAAACAAAAGAGAAAGACAAGATCATTAAAAAAACTCTCAAGTGATGAGTGACGACTGAGAAGCGTACCAGAAACACCGTCAGAAAAAGACCATATGCTGATATAAAAGCAATTAGGAAATATATGATTGAAACCGGCAGGGAGTAGTCTTGGAAATAACTGTAGACTGTTGCAGGAAACAATACGATTACACTTTAATTACGGTTAACCATAATGCCGAATTGCGGATCTGGATGAAACTTACAATTAGAGGACCAAACATGGTCCTTCCTACTGTCTACGTAAGCCAATACTAAAGTACATGCTGTATATATGCTGTATGCCTGCGCAAATCGATAATAATAAGTAACACTTTAATGATTATGATGTCCTTTCACCAGAGAAAGAATTAATTTTTATCCGCGGTTAAGGCCCAGGTGCTTAGCAGTCAGCAAGTATTCAAACGTACCAACCAGACAATCGATATTAGTACAATGCCAGGCCGGAATTTAATACAACAACAACAACTGTCCAGCTGGGCTTCAGGGAGCGTGACAGAAGGCAGTGCACCGAAAATGCGTAGTCGAGGCATAATCAATTTGTATGCCTGCTCGCTGTGAGCGGTTTTACCGTATTATAAAGTAACCGGCATTCTTTTTTCTCACGAATAGGAGATAATAAGGAGAGAATGTTCGATTAGTCTCACGTATGACCGTCTTCTAATAATGGTAGCAAACATTTTATGCAAGTTAATATTAATGTCCATAATTTGTGTTCTTAAATAGCATATTTTTAAAAAGTTAAACTTTGGGCTTTAATCGCGGAGAAAGAGCGTCACTGATATTAGAATTGGTCACGTGGTTATGTATCACCAAATTGTTTCCACTGTAGGCTGGGCGTCAAAAGAGCTTTTCATTAAATCACGCGACAGATATCGAAGTCTGTCAAATCCATCAAATAATGTGAGGGAGATGTTTCAACAGTTTTGAACAGCAAATATTTGGTATTTTGCAAATGTTCTCTTCAATAGATCAAATTTTTATGCGTATATGACGAACAATTGATCCAGACACGGAAGGATAATCACACCGAAATACAATTTCTTCAAAAGACGTTATGCGCAATAAAGTCCTGTAAAACTCGACAAATCAACGCACCAGCAGGGCGAGTCAAATCCTAAATATTGCGACGCTCCTGAACATTCATTTTATCTGGGTTAGCAGACGGGATAAATATGGATTCGTTCTATGGACAGAGGATGAATCATATAGCCGTAATGTATCATTTGTGAAGACCCTAAAAAGAATAGGAATCTTCATTTTGACTTGAGCGATTTCTCCCATGCAAGGTCTTATGCCTCAGCGGATTCGTGTATTTTATAATATCGAAAATTTAAACTCTATCTAATGAATATACTAGCATTCTCCTGTATATAGCATTTCGACTGAAAAGACACCGTATCTCTTGATGGATGATATGCAAACACGTTAGCTCCTAAAACTTCACCGTATTCCTTATCATTCTAAATACATCAGTATCAATCTCCTCCGAATCAAGCAGTGCATGGATGACACGCTTTCCTGTTTCGTGACGTGATTGATTTCGAAGGAGTTTTGCGAAATCAAATTTCTTCTTGACTTCAGCTAGGGTTGACTGCTTAATGACTGCAGAAAAAGAGTTAAACAATTAACCCAAAGCAGAGTCGAATAAGTTCATTTTATGAAACTAATTCTTACCTTCAAAGGGTTGTCCAGCCAGAAATTTATTAGACGTGATCTGATGCGCCCACCTACTAGATCATATTTTTTTTTGCCTCTACAGGTTTTATCTTCCGCTTGTTGATTAGATATTCCATTGATTCTTTCTCGCTACGGTCTCCGATTTCCATCACTGGTTGGTCTGCACGCGACCAAGCATTACGAGCTAACACATTCATTAGTCACCTTATTTCCCTCAAGACGACCAAAAACTATACTTACATTCCATTCTTCGAGGGACCGTACAGGCAAATACTGCGATGTATTTACTGAAATCGGCTTGTCCTTTGCATCATCCTGGAGATATCCGGATTCTTATGAACCAATCGACTGACTTTATCATAGACAATGACTGGTGTTTCTTTTTGTATACGGCGGAGGCACGTTTAAAGGCTCTTACCCACTTGTGATGCTTTGATTCCTCTATAATAAAGAGAATCTGGATCAAAAAATACATGTTTCTAATAATATAACGATAATGATAATTCTATCTTTAGGCCTCGCCAAGATTTTTTGCAAAAGTTGTCCCGTAAAAGAGATGTGCTCCTCAAATGTGAAATTAAGGGCCCTTCCAAATTCGTCACCAAATTCGTCACCAAATTCGTCAAGGTTTGCTGGAACATCAACATATATAACGCCCTGTCCAAATTTTCTTGCCGTTAATCTCGTCAACGTAGTTTTCCCGGCTCCATGTTCACCACAGACGACATGGTAAGATGAATGATTTTCAGGAGGATGAAAAATTTGCTTTAAGCCTTCTTCAAGTAGAGGTCAAATGATGATCTCATCACCAATTTCGGTTGGCTGCCTTTTTCTACAGTCTCGATGAGACGATGCTCATTGCATCTGTTCCGATACCAGGCATAAAGAAGGTCTACTGAAATGAGACCAACAAGGCCAGTTACAATTAATTTTGCAAATATGGTAGTCTACGAATAACGAGAAACTTGACTGAACAATCCACAATAAATCTCATACTGGAAGCCGTTTTGCAGTGGTCTTCCCGAATTTATCTAGGTATAACCCTTTCTTTAACTTTCAAATCCACAAAATCATCAACCTCTTTATCTTCTGGCGATATGGACGAGGAGTTGGATGGACGAATATCGGAAGAAATAACATTTTGTAACTACTTCTGTTTCAATTTCGTGACTCTAGCCTTAAGCTCAGCATTTTCCTCTGCAGTCTGTTCCAATTTCGCGACTCTGGCTTTAAGCTCGGCATTTTCTTTGGCGGGTATGTTCTAACTCCACAATTCTGGCCATAAACCCGCTTCCTTAGCCAGGAGCAAAGCGTTCTCAACCATAAGTTTTGCATTTTCTTGTCGGAGTAAACCTAATTCGGACGACATGCTTGATATTACAGTATGTTTTTTTATATATTTGCAGATTTATTTAATCTGTGACGCGTCGATTTATCCGTGACATTTCCGGCTGTACAACATAATATACAGTGTGTGACGAAAAAAATTGCCTCTCTAAAGTTTCTTGTAGTTCCACAACCATTGCATCAAATTAAACAGTAAATATACTAACTTAAAGCTTAAAACAAGCAGATTTTATTGATTACTTTTAATAATTGATTCTTTCCCCATTATTTTCAATAACTAGTTGACAACGATTTTTCATTGATTTAACTAAATTTATTATAGTCTCATCAGGAATATTATTCCACTCCTCCACCATCATCCTTTCCAAATCTACCAAATTTTGTGGCATCCTTTTTTCTACATTTCTTTGGAACGCTGTCTCATCAGTGAAAACAGTTTTTTTCCAATTATCATTGAGGTGCTTTTGTGCCCACTCTATACGATCTCTCTTATGTTTTTCAGTGAGCATTGGTGTTTTAATAGGCCGGTTTTTTTTTTATCCTCTTGAGTTTAAATACCGACCTACTGATCGATATGAAATATCAACACCTTGGGGAGTGCAACTTGTTAGATATTTTCCTTAGAGAAATTGAAGAATCTCTCCTTATGTATTGCCCAATTGCTTTAGCTGCATTAACGTCCACTTTTCTCTTTCGGCCATTTCCGCATCTGTGTTCCAAATTGTTATTTTCTTTCAGTTTATTGACGTTGTAACGAGTTGTACGTATGGGAAGGCCTGTCAATCTACTTAATTCTGGAACAGAACGTATGCCTTGCTTCCAAAAATGTAATAAGCCTATTTTCTTGTCATTTTGCGTAAGAGAAGACATCTTAAAGAGTATATTTCCAAAAGACACAAACAAAAACACAGATATTATAGAACGCAAAATAAACCATAAACATGAGCTTTGTTTTGCTTTTTACATGACGCGTTTTGTGCTAAAATTGGTGGAGATATGCAGGCTTGAAGTTATGATAAAAACGGCAACTTTTTTCGTCACACACTGTATAATTCAGTCTTTCTTTTATTTTTACTAATGTCTTCCTGTACTTCATAGGAGTACCCGTCAACCAGTTCAGCCTCAACAATTGTCCTTGAGGCCTTAGACAAACTCTGCATTTCACCAGCCCCCTTCCGAAGAGTCTATTTCTTCCTCCAATATGAATAAATAGTAACGAGACAAGAGATAGCAACAGAGAAAAAAAGCTTCAGCGCGAATCGGCTGGAAAACAAGCCCAAGACTTATCGTAATTTCATGAAATTACATTCAGAGATATGGAGTCACAATCATGTCCAGTCTCTCTGATATAATTATTGATTGCAGAAATAAAATCGATATTATGTGTCTCGACACTAGCTCCGCCATTATCTTGTATCGTTCCACTTATAACTGGGAGAGGTACATTTACGGAATCAGAATCGCTACATTCATTCTCAGTCTCAGAATCACTAGATTCGAACTCCGTCTCAGAATATTCTGAATCGTAACGTTCGCTTAGATCAATCAGGCTATTCTTCAGAAAAACGGGTTAAATTATATCTCCATCTCTATCCATTCCGATTAATTTGGGAATAACATTTCATAGAATATATGTAATAAACGAGGTAATATTTCTATTCTATCTTTCTCCAATAACATTTCTCCTTTCCCCCCCCAAAGCTTATTCCTACATATTTTATATCCATAGAAATCAATGTCAATTCCTCGCCCTGTTAGCCGTGAACCAAGTCATATTCAAGTTTTTCAATAACTACGAAATTAGTAAACGTTTTGTTTAAATATCGAGGTAAGGATTTTAATTTTCCTGATTCATATTTTCTTGCCAGCATTTGTGTACCAATACCAAGATCTTCTACTGCGGGATATTTAGATCCATACTCTCTAGAAATGTATAAATCCATTTTTGGGCAAGTGCTTTACCGATACTAGCGTACTTGGGTCAATTAGCGCTTTAACAGTTGTTTTTCTATCAATAAATGTACAGTCCACTATTAATCTTTTGCGAATTTCTCTAATCACTTCGGTTTTCCATATATTTTTAAGATCTTGAATCGGAAGATACTTTGTTATGAATGGTATTAATTCTGGTGGAAGATCAAGTAAATTAGGCATTGCTAATTAATATATATCGGAAATAACTAATGTTCGGATAATTAATTTAGGCGCACTTTTAAATTAGTATTATAAAATAATTTACAATGACCGAACATTACTAAACAGGTATCGGGTAAAACAATTCAGATCTCTCTTCACCGATTACTGGAGATAGTGAACCCGAGATTCAGCAAGATATTATAAATTCGATAACGAACTCGGACATTTCCTCGTCTTCTATTATAGAGAGTTTGACTGTATCTTTGATAGACTAGTGAAAGCCAGTCCCACCACCTAGAATATTTTACAGCACTCTGCTTTTGTTAAGTTCAATACTTCTTTCCTACCTAATTGTTTATCAATTTTCCTAGCATAATAATACTGTAATCAATAACTAAAGAGTTAAAATAAAAATCCAAGTTGTCCAATATATGATTATTGGCTTAAGAAAAAAGTGGATCTATAAAATTTCAGCTGAAATTTGAACATGATTAGTGTAATCATGATAGAAAAGATGGTTGTTACTGATGCCATGAGAAAGGCTGACATATTCAACACAAAGAGGAATTGACCATGGGGGGAGAGAGGTTGGTGTTTTAGTTGGTAATATTAAAAAAGTGACTTATTTTATATTCCTGAACGGGTGTTTTGAAATACCCCTTTGCGAAAGTTTTTCATTCTCCTATTCAACAATCCTAAACAAATTAACAAACTTCTTCAAGAAATAGATGCTGATAATGAGTATTATATGACATTGAAATATAATCTCACTACGTCTGTTAAGCAGGTAAAGAATGAATAATATAAAAAACTAATTCCTGAGGGATATTTGCTTTTTAAATAAATTTTATGTATAATTTTGCTTTGCATTATCTGCCAGAAATCTTGGGCTACCAGCCACCATTGTCATGCCTGATTGGGAAATCGGAACATAAATTGTGCTTTGTTATAACGTCCCAATCTATGTCCATAATTGTCATTTCGATCTCGACAACAAACATTGTCTAAGCCTGTTATCATTCTGGACGACAAACGCGATTTGTGGCCTCTTCATTTCGAAAAAAATAAGTGGCCTGTCCCTCGCATAGTGACATCCAATTGCAAGTTCGCAAAACTAATGAAGAGTATACAAAATTTTACACAAAACGCCAAAGTTGTCTTTTATGGGTGCAAAAAACAACTCCGCAAACCGACTGTTATACAGTTTCCATGTTCGTACACCCTTCATATGGTATTCCCTACTAAAGTTAAGTAATACGACACATTGACGAATTATTCGCCTACGCAAACATATGGATAATCTTTTTGCTACAAAGGATAAGCAGGTTGCTTCTAATTCGAGAAAAACGCCTTGCAACTTGATAAGGCGATCTTTCGGATGCGACGAAAAACAAACGCCTGCAAAGTTTATAAAGAAGTCGCATTTTTTACTCGCTAATTATCAATATAAATCGGAGAACGAGAAGATAACACGAAAAATTTCCAACTTGCGCGATGTGAAAAAAATAGAAAGGACAGAGATGTACAAGTGTTGAATTGTTGGACTATCTTCCTCCAGGGGTATTGCTTGGGGACCTTGATTCTCTCCGGAGATCATGCATGGAAACATTAAATTCACACCAAATTTCAATTATACAAATATGTATTAGTATACAACGTCCATGCCAAGCCATATCTAACAATGTTAGATATCGCGTAAGCCATCTCCTACAAAACGCTTCTTTCCCGCGTACAGTACGTTAACTTGGTTTATAACCTAACGACAAGTTGAGAGTACGATCAGTTGGCGCTTCCACTAACATATATTAATAGATTCGAGGAGTCTGCGTTGGACATTGGCTTCAGCGATTTTTATATAGAAATATCTTATTATGGCACAATGAGAAAAACGATAGACGATCGTCGATAGATTTGAAGAAAAAAAAAGAGCTTAGAAACGACAGAGCGAAAGTATTCGATGATGACTATTGGAATATTAAGGCATTACAGAGAACGAAAAGGTGGACATTCAGGTATTTACCGCAGCTTCGTGCTTGTGTCACGCACGAATCTCGTCCAACAAAAATCTCATCCAATAATTTACAGATAAATATCCCCTCTTCTATCCTCTCCCAGTATTCGTCAAGCGATCGAACGCACCTATTCACTGATGCCAGCCACGTTAGTTCATGACGTACTCTTAGAGCTCATTGAACATCTTCATGATGACCCCCATTCTCTCTATTGTTGGGTACAGACTAGTCGCTTTTGGCGTACACGTATTACTCCTATTTTATGGAGAATGCCATTTATCCACTTGCATCAGCTAAAGTACAAGGAATCGTCTTGTAGAGCATTGATTCGAACTTATGTCTCTTGTCTCACTCGTACCCAAAGAAAACATTATATCAAGAGAAACATTCTATCACAAAACGAAGCTTTGCCCACCGTGAACTATGGTCAATACATTGATAGACTTGATGATCATATAATAGTTGGAGTTCTTGTCGGGACTGGGTGGTTTTCGTCGTATGCAAGTAGACTTAACATATTCGATGCGTTGCTCAAACTGTTTGTGACCAGTTCACAACGGTTAACCCACATTTCGCTCACAGAATCCTATGTTAACCCATGGAGAAGTTGCTTCTTTCCTCGCACTCTCATTTCTCTCAAATTGAATATCTCCACATACTTTTATCAGCTCGCAATGAAAACAATCAGACTTCAACAAGCATTGGAAGAACTCACTCTGTTGCATGGTCGAGGAGACATTCTGCAGTTGTATTACGATTTTGTGGAACCACAAAAGGAGAGCTTAAAGAAGATTACTTTTATCGAATGTGCCATATCCGATGCATATATATCACACGCAGAGTTTAATAAAAAGGTACCACCCAAATTGACGGAATTGAGATTCGAGCAATGCTCGGAATTGGATGTTGAGGTTCTTGAACATATGTTATCTGGAAGAATGGAATTGAATGAAGAAGATGGGAATGTGTTTGTGTTCTTAGGCCATTAGTACAATTGATGGGATGACAACATGCGTCGGTTAAAACGAACCAATAAGAAAAGGAAAACAAGAAAGAGAGAGAATGAGAAAATGTGAGAGAGCGCAAGGAGAAAAAGACACGATGAACGGACTCTCAATTTGATTATTGGTCCTGTTTAATAACACTTAATTTTACCGATTTTACTTTTAATCGTTCATGTAATTATATTCATAATCTAAATCACAGATGACTTGTAAATTGTTGTACTGAAAAACTTGACATGTGACTAATAGAACAATAACAAATGACGTTTTACTGTGCACGAACGATATTTCTATATATGGAAAATGCAAATGCAATATTTTACAATAGGTAAAATATATCATTGACAAATCGCATTTCAATTATCGATGGGGGGTTTATCACAAATATTACATAATGGTTCATTATAGCTCAGAAGTAATTATTGTAATTATTGTCCGACTTTCCTTTTTCGTCAGAAACCACAATATCGACTCGTCCAGATTCCAATTCTTGCTTATGATTATGTACCTCATCCTCCTCATCACTCCCAAAAGTATGCCTTTCAGTCTTTCGCCTCCTTATTGATTGTCTGTTCGATCTATTTTCATCTTCGTCAAATACGTCACTCTTGACACCAAGAGTAAAATCAGCTTTGCTAGCATCATTAGATGAATTATTATGGAGATTTCGAAGAGAACGATTTGGAGGAACCATTTTGTCAGCCGGAAATCTTGGCGAATCGTACGGTCCTTGAATATCGAGTTCGATTAATACTGTTTTCAACATGCACATAAACTGCAAATAAAGAGATGTGTCAGTTGGGGTCGTCAAGAACTGCGCCGATTTTATATTTTACAACTCAACTTGCCTTATTCTTTCGTCTCGATGTTAGGCCATCATCTTGCCAATTGCTTTTATGAATAACACTTATCTTGATCAACATTTGTCTGAGCTTCACTAACTTTTCGACAGTTATTTCGATTTGTGGATAAAAATCTCTTTCTTCCGCTTTCAAGAATTGCACCATTCGCTTCCGCAATGCTTCAATCTGCTCAAACGTCGTGTAGAAATCAACTTCAATAAATGTTTCATCTGCCATATGTCCTGAGCGTCGAACGTTATGAATAAAAAGCTCCGTCAGGCTTTTGTTGGCAACGTGTACTTCTCCACCATCGTTACGAGTTAGAGTAGTAGTCATTAAAGACATTTCGGCGACAATGTACGTCTCCCCTTCTATGACTACGCGATCGCCTAGTCAATAGTAATAACATGTAATATTAGATATATGTGTATCGCTAGTGTAAACGTTGAATTCAATATGGTCTTTGGTCTGTTCTAACACTCACCGACGTCGAACGGATGTCTAACAAACAAGAAAATTATGCTTTCAAAGACTGCCTGGGCAGTTGACCCAACCATAAATGAAAGTGCAACCAGGACCGATCCGGCTGTTGCAATATATGTCTGGAATGACACATTTAAGAAGGCAATAAAGAGGAGAATTATAACGAACTATAATTGATGCAATATCATGCGTTAGAATACGAACAATAGATCAATTGAAATCGATCATTTAATTATAACTGCAGCTTACATAAATTGCAACCATCATGATGGAATCCAATTTACCCACGGCGTTATCTAAATCGCTAACGATATAAAAGAAAATACACGAATCAATTCATGTTATACAATGCAAATTTGTTTTCTGCATTTGATATTCATTGCTCTTACCGTAAAGAGGCAGAAATAGCTTGACGTTCTTTGTAAGCTTCAACGCATGATATGAGCATCTCTTCCTTGGTTAAATCTCCGTTGCCATCTTTATCAAACATGTAGAATGCATTTTCAGCCTCTTCGTCCGTCTGGAATACATTTCGGACATCATCGAGCGTAAGATAGGCGCGTTTGTGGGGACAGAAAGCCTGAAATAAGCGACGTCCCAAGGCACGTGCACCATGACTTGATTGAAGATAATGTAAGACTGTGGTTTCAGCAAAATTCGTGTTCGGGTCAAACTGAGAGCGAATTTAAGAGTTAGATATGTGGTCAAGTAGAATTCTAATAATTGAATGGGTATCATCAATTCTTACTTTCTGGCCAGTAATCTCCGAAGCCATGTGTCCCAAAACGCTTGTAGTCTTCTCAATAGCATTTTTAGTTGTTTTAAAAATCTTGACAATTCCGCCTCTGCCTTGATTTCCAAAGCTTCTGTTTGTGACCAACGCATCAATTGAGGGTCTACGAACTCTTTTTTTGGCGACTACAAGGAGCTTAGAAAGAACTGCAATTTGATACTTTGACTGTGCTATGCGATCTTGATACGTTGTTTGGTGGAATTTGACAGCTATAACCTGAAGAAGCAATTTTTCAAGGGCAATTATGCAAGACGAGATAAATAGTACTAGAATAGTGATTATACATTAGTAGGAGGCAATAGTAATACGGATTGGTAACCGTAGACAAAGATGTCAGATATTTGTTCACATACCTGCTAGTATTCTATGAACGATGTCTTGCCAGTCAACAATCACTCCATCATTCCCATTATAGGCGACCATAATTGGATTGAATGTGATAAGCGCGGCAAGAAAGAAAGTGACATTTGAGACATAAAAATGCAAATGTCTCCAATAGTCCATATATCTCTTGATCTTGGATGAAAATAGCCCAAAAAACCATTCTAGAACAGATTCAAAAATATCATTAAATGCCAGTCTTGTTCATCCGTCTAACCCTTCCAATTGCTATTACGCGAAAATATTTTCTCATCCAACATAGCTTTGTAATTCTTACCAAATATGTCCGGCGCGACTGCCATAACAAATCTCGACGCAAAGAAAGCGAACCAACAAATGCCTAACCACAATGCCCAAATTTCTAATGGCACCGTAGCAATATATGTGCCTTTGTAGATTGTCCATCCCAACACGGCAGGAACGGATAGTATTGCTAGACCAGGGAAGATGTAAACCAAGTTGCGTGTACCAACGCTGAAGTTTTGTCGAAACCATTTACAGAAACGAGTAAAGCACATTCGATTCGAAGCATCGGATGAGTTTTCGCCATCCTCATCAAATCTGGAATAGATCGATGCATCGTCTTTCATTGGGTAAGGTTCAGCTTTCAAGTTTGACGAAGACATGGGTTTGGATGGAGAGCAGTTAGAAGTCGGAATTAAATAGGATTGACTTTGCAAAAATTGGAGTAAGAGGGGGAAAGGGAGAGATGAATATTTCTTGGAATTGTTTTGGTCGCCGGCGACAAGAAATTTTCAAATTAAGGGAATAATAAGCGCTGTTAAATAATGAGTGATCTATGCATAAGTCGTAAGTCGGTTTAAAAAAAGGTACGAAACTTTTGTTCGGTTTACTGTGTCGTATTATATTCGTTTATTCGACCAATTACGTTACTCAGATTGTCTTGGCATAGTGCATTCATCCTTTAATAGGGATAAGCCCGTTACTGATATCGAAATTTACTATTACGGCTAGACGTGTAAACAAAAACGGTAATAGCAATAAATAACTTTAATTAGTTGGAATGTCAAATGAAAGACGTCCGATATTTTTGACTCTAACCGTTATTATTATGGAAAGACAAAATCAGCTTTTTTGGGAGGGGGTGAAGAAAAAGATGAATTCGTTCTTTATTCCCCTCACCATTGTGGCCTTCTATAAATACATTATCTACTATAATTAACAACAAAATATCATTATCTATTCCCCCTCCCCCCTCTATTCATATTTAATATTACCATATAAATACCAGGCATTAGGCCAAGTTTCTTTATTGATTCAGTTTAGTATGTAGATAGCATGTGCTTTCTCATGTACTAGCTGTCTAAAAACAGCTTTAGCAGTTTTCTGTAGTTGTCAATAAAGATCCTATAAAATCGAAGAAAAAGATGAATTCTATTCAAGATTATCTTTGAAACCTCTTCTTCTCCCCTGTGGATCTATTCATTTTGCGTTTAAATAAACTCTACAATGTAGTAGTCTATTGCTGGAAGTACGATACAAACTTGCAAGTATATATCGTCATTTGAGACATAATTGCAATACCCAATTACGGTGAAATGCCTCACAAAGTGAAATTCCCGTAAATACAACGTTTTACTCATGCCAAGTGCGAACAGACTGTAATATTCTTAACTGTTACTCACGTGGTTTACATATTGGCTACGAATAAATCACATTCTGGTGTTTCAAATACAATCAATCGCGTAACGTTATCATTATCATTGTTGTTGCTATAATTTTTCAGCGTTTAAGTTTGATCCTGTGTCTCGTTTTGAAACCAACAGAAGGCTTTATTGTTGCAGATCATTAAACTTTCATTCGTGAAAGCGGGTACATTCGATGAAAACAGAGTAGCTGTATATTGATAGCCAAACCTTTAGCAGTTTAGCAAATGAATGAGCCTCCTTTTTTCAATCGATACATAGATGCAGATCCAAGGGGGGTGGCATTCATGGAGGTTTCACTGTATAATGTAAACATTTTTGGTTATTGAGGAGAATTCGATCCATTAAAACCGCTCCGATCAAGCTGCCAAAATGATATCCAGAAATCGTATTCGCACAACATAATTAGCACATCACCTATTGGCGTTTTAAAAGTATATGATAATTGATAAATAGATTAAACATTTTAAAGTGCATATACTTATTGCGGAGTAATCCAAAATAAAATTTTACTCCCACTGTGATTCCTGTCCTCTTTCTATTGTTACATAAATGCCAAGCCAAACTCAAATATCAAGTGTACTAAGTGTTTATCTACAACGGTTTATCGACGACATTAAGAATGACTATCTAAAGTTTGATAATAATTTTCTACAAGTAATATGGTCAAGAAGTATTAATCCTAACCTTAGCTTTCCACTACAAAATCAAAATTTGCAAGCCTTTTTAAATTGGTCATATAGTTCGGTAGTTGTAACAATCCGACCTTGCAACGTACCCGGTAATTTATTACTATTGCTAGAGTCTTTAATAGTAAATCTTAGAAACGTGAATAAGTAAAAATTGGTTTAAAAATACTGCGTAAACAAATATTTAGAGCGCTGTCTGTCAATGAAATAATTGGTATGTTTAACTTGTCTGTCCAAATTCTAGATAGATTCGTCCTAAAATTTGCTTCAACACCACTTCGAGCATCAAATCGTTCCATTCGGCACATAGTGGTGTACCAAATTAAAACCATTATTGAAAAACTATAGTAAGATTAATTACTAGTAAAGTGATATTCAAAATATTAAATTAGACGCGCGTCTTGCGAAGTTTTATGTAATCGCAATCTCAGTGAATGGGTTTTAATTAAATAGACAAAATAATTTGGGTTTAATTTATTACGACGTGGTATTATTTACATAAAGTTATTATAATAAGAGCAAAAATCTTCAGTAAGTTATTTAGAACCGTTCTCAAGCGGTTTGGAAATATGCGCTGCGTTATTCTTGTTTAATGAATAATCTAGTCGATTGATTTTACCTACTCGGAACGTTTTTTGACCAATTACAGGAAGAAAGATATTTCGGTGTTATTATAAAGAAAAAAGTTTGCCAAAAATAACAATTTGTTAAGACAAATAATATTAAGATTAAGAGACAATCGTTAATTTGGCAAATACTGTATGTGGGAAGACTTAGCAAAAGCATAAAATGCAATGTAAGTAATGTTATAAGAATGCAGGACGACAAATCAGCTTCTCGAACGTTAAAAATTTATTATTCGTTTTCAAAAAGTTTACTCTATCTAAATGTTGACTATGCAAATTAATTTTTTAATTCGATAATAAACTTAATACTACAAAGCATCTATTATCCGAGACACTATATGTAATTAAATTAAAATTTAGTCTTTACTGTTGCAGTTCGTTCGCTCTCGAGCAAACCTGAGGTATAGTAGTGGTGAAAAGTAGTAAACAATAACCCACAAATTTTCAATAGGATTTAAGTCAGGACTATTGGATGGCCAGTCCATGACTACTGGAGCATTCTCATCAAGA